TATATTCATGATGTAAAAAAATAAATAAAAAAAGGTAACAGAAAATACTATGTTCGTCTTGATTCCATTATAATGTTAACTCCTTAGGCCGGTTCTTATAATGTTCGGTTTAGTGTCCGTTAATGGTTAAACGACGGTTCGTGGGATTTTTACCGGCAGAATTCTRCCGGTTAAGTGTCCCTTAACTTTAACCYGACATTGTAAGAACGACCCTTAGTGTTAAGAATGTAATCTTGAGTGATTYACTATCATGTGAAACCGTCTTTATAATAATATAATCTCGTAATTATGCAACAATTTGTCAATGTTACTGGCATGGTCACTTGTAACTTTTAGGCTACTTTAAGTACGTATTTAAATATATAAATTCAAAAGCTTAGTTTTTTCTCAATATGTCTTTTAAATTGCCTATATCAAACCCCTTAAAAATMAGGTGTCTGGTGTCCTCAGAAATAATTGTAATCTGTATACTACGGATTGCACAATCACTCATACATCACACATGTTGAGGAATTATTATAATCATAATTTAATTTAAAATATATGCTCAAAGTATCTATTAACAAATCCATAAGACATAATTTAGAAAATACAACTTAGTACCTCTGAATTAAAATAATCCTCCTTTAAACTGACATAAAAATGGTCTCTTTAATCATTATGTTAGGTGTTACTTAGTCTAATGATAATTTAATTCTCAATGCTAATCTTACACACAAGAAGTATGCATTTAAATTATATTGGCATAGTACAAAGTTATGGCCTTTACATAATCCCTTAAACAATGCGAGATCGCAGGTCCTCGCGAATATCAACAATAAAAGTTAGGGAATGACGAAGATGAATAAATTCAAAAAACTGCTATTGTACGCTTGTAAAACGCATCTCAAAATACGAACAATTTAGCAATTTCTTTGATATTGAATAAAATTGCAACTCAAAAAATATTAGTATGTATTAATTCGTAATTTAAAACTGGTGCAACATCGATACCAATTTAAAAAAATGTTATGCTGGTAAAGTATAAATATAATCGTCATTAACAAAAAAAAAATGTTTTATTATAAATTAATTGATTAATTGATAAATGGATGACAAAACCTTAAAAATACAACAATATTACAGTTACAATGAATCAATTAGAAATAACATTAATTATAAAATAATAAAATAAAAATCAATAATACAATAATACATATTATACATAATTATTAAATACTACTATGGTAGGTAATACAATACAATGTACAGGGTCTATCACGAAGACAATTTTCCAATGAGTTTATATCATGCATTTTAATGTTATTAAAATCTCACAGTTTGCGGTACACTTAGACTCGGTATATTATTTTAACTCATAGTCATTGCACAGCTAACTGAAAAAAAGTTGAAACATTTTGTACTGTTTGTATGTATAATGTATAATATAATAATTCGAATTCTAGACAACTTGTATGCTGTATAATCTTAAAACATGAAACGTGATAATATATTTACTCAATACTATTGAGTCTATAGACTATGGGTAGATTCAAGCTGGACGGAATGATCACGGTGRCAAAGGCAATATAGGTACTGAAAGAGTTCATCAATGCCTCTCTTGTCAATAATATTGTCGTTAAGTAGATGTGTCTGAAAATTATAAAAAAAAATGTATTAAGCATCGAAATACAACGGTAACTGATACTACTTTTTTTTTTTTAACTAACAAAAATATTATATTTGCACTATAACTTTACGAGCGAGATAAAAATACGAAACATCTAAAGTATATAACATAATATGCTCATCATAGTTTCTGTGCTGTACGAAAAATAATGTGCAGACGATCGAAGGCAAGTAATTAGAAATTAAAATGCACGAATTTCTAATTTTATATTTTGAGTGGATGAAGGAATGTATATTTTAAATAAAATACGCAATGAAATTAGAGGAATCTCTGTAATATTTAGATAGTTGATAAAATATCCATACTGCAGCTTGTACCGTTTGTAGTCCAAAAACTTTAAAAATAATATTTATTATAAAATATTGCGTGTTTAGTATATTTCTATGGTTCTATTTGAATGACATTTGTTTGGACAACAACAACATAAATACATAAACATAATACATAACATTGTATTGCAATACATATTTTAGACATTATGGATAAACGTTACCTACATTATTAATAAGTATAACAATTTATTATAATTACATTTTAGCTTCTGAGCAGAGAGCTAAATGTATTAATTTTACACCAATGAGTGGTTTTTTTTTAAATTTTATTGGTGCCCATATGTAGTCGATAATTAGTCAAAATAATGTTTCGATTTTCAACTTCAATTCTAAGTAACTTTTTAGTTTGGAAAGTGAATGTAGTTGAAACATTCAAAAGTTCAAAATTTAAAATGTTCAGTAGTTTTTAAAAGAGCCGGAAAAAATTTTAGAATAAACGAGAGTGTAAAAAAAAAAGATTTTGGTTTTGGTTGTAACTCCAAAACAAATTACCATAGATACATACATTTTTTATTGAGTGTTTGTATTAGCGTTTTCAACATACCGTAAAATTTTCAAAATATTTTGAGCTATTTATAAGCATGTGAAATGTTCAATTATTGTTAGTTTTTTTTTAAGATTAATGTAAT